ACACGCAGACAACCTCTCGTCAATATGCGTTTTTTGCATTGCATTGCTGCAAAAAACGCATAAAAATTCACAGTCACGATCCAAACAACTGAAGTGTTTGCGACGAAAGCTAGCAAAAAATTAGGAATAAGAGTGCACTGCTTATAACAGTAGCAGATATGCAGTGAAAGATATAGGTATAAAAGGAAATGACCACTATTTCCGGATTCCTCGAATTCTACATGTTAACACTGCACTTCCGGATCTTGTGTTTCACGTTTATTCTGCTTGTAGCATTTGTATATAGTGAACTTTACACCTGACTGCCACTCATGCAAATTTAGTGTGGAACTGAAGGTCCAACGAGGTAAGGTCTATACATCGCGATTCGAAGGACCCAAGGGTAGGAAAAATGAGAAGCACAGTTTCCTTTCAGATCTATGCCAGTCACAAAAAAGAGTATATGTGTGAACGATATAGACTTGAAAAGGAATAGTACTCCCCATTTCCTCGATCTCCGAATCCTTTGGATCGAGCTTCATTAGCAAGAGGCTTTAAATCTCTGTTAGAAAGCAACACCACTACTAGTCCCTAGAAGGATGTAGCGGAAAAATTAAAACATGCTCCAGAGAGACATAAAACTAATAAAATTTACGTTTGAACGATTGTTCAGCAGCAGAAGAATCACTATCTCCCTGCTTGCGTGTAGGGCAGCCACAGTTCAGAGATGTTTGCTGGAAAGAGTTACGTTTGAGCTCCGGCGGACAACCCGCCATCTTCTCGTTCTGTACAATCATATCGCGAAAGCAACTTGGTCCTCGTTCTAGAAACATTAGCATTGTCCAAATTAAAAGCAACTTTGATTTCCAGTATGGCAGTGGCTCAACCACTTCCAGCGGCAGCGCAGTAGCAGAATTTTATTGCTTTGCTGCATTTTTTAAAAGTAAGTTACAAAACTCATCCGGAAACCTCTGCATCACAAATACATGTGAAAAGCCTGTGAGAACCGGAAAAATGTGCACTGCATAAGGCAGCAACAATAGACAATATAGACTGAAAGGTACACATACGATATAAGTACTCCAACAACTTAGGTACACACATGATATAAGTACTCTAACTGCTGAGTCGAGTACAAAGGCCAGTAGTGTAATGGTTAAGAACTCATTATTTGGAGGCATCTCAGAAATAGAGGTCCGACTCCCTCTGACTCATACTCTCTGTCGAAAAGAGCTCGTTCATGTCACCCCAGGTGGTGGAGTACTTCATTCTGGTCTAGCAGTGTGTTTAGTGCTTGCTGAGCGTCACCAAAGAATCTTAAAATGACTAAATCCTTACTAAATGCTGTCGGCAGAATCGCTGATTCTTCCGGGAGACAAAACCAACATCGGGTATGGCAACAGATTGACAACGAAATGATGACAATATTCGTCAGATCAATTGGAAAAGTTGTAAGCTGTGTAACTGAGAAACCAGACTGTTAGCTATAGCTAACACAAGAATTCAAAATAAATTATAAAGCTAACGAGCAAGTATCCGCAGTGAGAAAGTTCGCGGAAAGACGCTTGGCGGAAAATGCACTTTTGAAATGGCTGAACTGGTATCAGTCACATTACAAATTAGTGCCTCCTCGGTTAGTGTCCAGAAAAACCGGCGCCATTTGTTATCTGCAACATAACGCCTTTTATCTTTCGGTGCTCTTCTACACTTCCTCTAAGAGTTGGTCATTTGTTCTACGAGTTGGATCCATTGCCCACTCTTTCCTCTAAATAACGTCAGACGTACAAGCTTATCAGTAATAGTATTGGGCTTGGAGGAAGCCCGAAATACTTGCTGCAGACTCTGGATAGTTGTACTGGATTTCGTGGCCCACAATGTGCAAAAATTTTTCTCGTCATCGACCATATTTGCGCTCTCGTGTACTTTGTACCCCGTTCATTCATATGCTTCACACTATTTTCCTCCTTTTCTACTTTTTAAACCACCTTTTTCCTTTTATTCTGTTCACAATTTGGTGTTGCAGTCGCTGTGCTGACGAGGTCCAGCTAAGATGTTTGCAAACTAATGGACGAAGACACCTTATCAGTGTATTTTAGTTTGCGCCGTCTCTCATTTCTATCTTTCTCCACACCTTGCATTTTCACCCGTGGGTGCGAGCAGTTCAAGCGACTTCTTAGCCCAAATCCCCACTCGCTTAGATTCATTAATCAAAACTGTATCCGAAGTTTAAATGTATTCCAGAAAAAAATAATCCATTTTATCGTTCCCGGATAATAATATAGGTCAGCAAAAATGATCCAAAAAACGAATAGCTGAGGAAAAAAGAACATATTTGCTCACCTCGTGGTGCAAATGATGCACAATTACCAAGATGATTACCACTTGAGCTCTCCACAACACCCAACAAATCGCTTACCACTGATTGCGTCGACCTGAATTCACTCATTTTTTGCTCATTCATTTAAAAGACATTCATGGGAAGCCAAAAAGAGAAAAATCGTAATTTAACCGCGAACAAATTAACGTTAGTTGAGGAATGCACAATAATAAAATCGGGTCGCCAGGACCTAACATTTCAAATTTTTACCTTCATTACACTGGCGGATCCTGATCTGAATCATCCGAACACACTAAATGCACAAAAAAAATGCAAATTCGAGCTGCTCTATTGTTCTTTTTCATATGCGCCAAAAGAAAATAAATACTGCTTTAACTGTCAGCGTCGGTATCCCATGTTAGTAATGTTACTTAGATGCATTCACATACCCGAATCAGCTAAATAAGTACAGGCCATTTCTGAGCTTTGTATCACCAAACAGTAATAATTGGCCAACGCACGGGCTGCCCGTGCGAAGATGCGTTTTTTGCATAGCTCCCCGCAGATT